CTTTTATTTTACCCATAATTATTAAATAATAGAAATACTTACTATTGCACCATTGACGATTTGGCTATACGTAAAAAATTCTTAATGGTATCATAAATATTATTTCGTCGTTTTTATACCACAACATGTTTTATTATATCGCAAAAATAAATGTTTTTTTAATTCATTCGACAAACACAATTTTTATAATAACTATTGTCAACTATTGTTTGTCGATAGTTAAATAATTTATAACATATTTTTAAATATTTTTCGAACGTTCAAAAGCTCATTTTTGGTAATTTAAAAAAAAAAAAAGTAATAATAATATATTCACACGGTATAAATGTTAAAATTTCAATTATTATTTTGCTATTTCGTTTACGTTGTGGTAGCTTATTTGTAGATAATGAACACGTTTTTTTCAAACAATAGACTCCTAAATATTAAATGCACAACACATACACAACTGTGTACTATGGCATTTGCTTATATCTGAATGATAATTTTATGTTTAACGGTAGACTTGAAACACAAATTATTATTTTTTTATAATATGCAGTGTTCGACCCTATTCATCCTGATGCTATTATTTCTGATAATAATTAACATTTTTATTTTTTCAATCTAATGTTTTGTTTATAATATTTAGAGACAAATAGGTTTTTAATTTTATCTTTTCATCAATAAAAACAATATAAAAAAAAGCCATTTTGTAATAGATATACCTCTTAAAACAGAGCTGGGGCCACTGGGAACGGGTTTAGTCAAAATTAACTTTTAATCAAATTTTCAATCATTTCTGTCTGGCTTACCAATTTATCTACAGAGTACCTACTACATAAAACTACGTATTAAAAAACGTAAGATTAAAATAACTACAAATAGTTCAAAAATTCTTCAAATATGCCGAATGATTTACTGAGTTTAGAAAATGTAAATATAAAAATTGTATGTCCTTTCGAATATTTTAAACTGGATAACATTAAAAAAACAAAATTTAAAATATTAAAAAAATTTTTTTCTTTTAATGTCTTAGTTTGTCAAGGTATTTTTCGATTTCACCCAACTATTATGAAAAAATACTTTGGATATCAAACAACCATTTATTTTGACAGTAGTGAATTATTAATGGAAACAAAATCGATATTTTATTATTTTTCGATTGAAGTAGTATTCCTTGTAGAAAACTTATTTATAACAATAAAAACAATGAAAACTGAGACGCCGTGTGCTATAAATATTTGAGTTTTTCCCATAATTATCTTACGGTTTTTATGCTTACCTCTATAATGTACTTTCTCTGGCAGATTTCCTATTAGACAAATTGTTATCATTGTAAATTGTAGCATAGCTGCTGGTAGAAAAGTTGTCCACAGAAAAAAAGTCCGTACAATTTTACTTTTATAATTGCATATTTTACGGTATTTCCTTCGTGTTTTTCGAATTTTTTTATTTTGTGAAATAATGTATGAGAAGATCAAAAAAAAATAATTATAATGCCTTATATCCTTGCAGAAATATTGTTACTCGTGTTAATCGGAGCAATATATTTGGTAGAAGCTTAAGAACTTTATAATCTGCTTCGTCAACTGAGAATTTAATAAAAGCGTGTTTCGCATGCCTTTTATTTTTATGTTATCACAGATTAATGACGTCTGGTCTGTAAACTTTTTTCTTTTAAATTAGAATATTCGATTGACTCAAAATGTACGTTAAAAAAAAATTCAACATTTTTATTTGAAATACACGTATTTTCTTTAATATACCTTATTAATTCTTAAAAAATAAATACATTGTGTTAGCACTTATAAACAATCACTTGATCGGGGAAAGTCATCTAACAGGATCATTTTTTCAAGTTAAGTAATTTTTTACGAATTAATCTTAAAAATGGTTATATTTGAAAGATTATTCTTTGAATATATAGAGTGTCCCACAATGTTATCTTTATGCTAATATTTCTGTCAATTTTTAATTTTTTTCAATCGGGTTCTGTGTGAGGGTAACGCATTCGTAGATCAAATTAAATTTTTGTTTTCATCCCTTCATTAATGAAAAAGAATCACTTAATATTAATAATTAATTTATCACTCTTCGAAATAGTCATTCTGTAAAAGTCATTGTTCTTGTAATATAATAGAAATATAAAATAAAATGAGGAGAAACCGAAGGAAGATTATAATTGGTGGTCGTGGGGTAGTCAAGGGAGAAAATGATGGGGTCGGGTTAATATAGGTTTGGGTGTAAATATTATTGTATCGTCCGTGGATCCACTACTTTACATACAATCATAAGTGTGAACAAAATTTCGTGAACACAAGGGTAAGTGGTGAGGGGGTGGTTTCTGTGTGACGATTGACGATTTTATGAAATAACGCGGATGCTACGTTGCCATCATGTTCGGACAACCAACTATGTTGCTGTGACGTGACGTAGTATACAATATATGTATATTTTGTTATATAATAAAATCAGACTGTGTAATTTGGGATATTATTGTGTCTCGTCCAAAGACCGTCCTACCCTATGATAGTGTGTGTTTGAATAAATGTGTAAATTAACGTTTCCTATATTACGCTTTTGCTTCCTTTGACTTGAGGAAAATCTAAATGCTATTCTATTATAGGAGTAAAGTAACGTTCACTTACCTTGTTGATCTGCAAAAACAGCTTGAAGTTCGTCTGCAGATCGTATGCTATAGTACGATAGGTAAGACAAAAGTGATCGGTAGATAAATCGTTGCTCGGGTGTGCAAAATACAACATGGATAGGTGTGGGTATCGATAAATCACTTCAATATGTGCACAACTTATGAAAATAATTCAAAGGAAACAAGTAAACGTGAGTGTTCAATATATGACACATGGAACGCGTTTTTTTTTTCGTTTACCACGTTTTCAGGCATATAGACAAACTGTTGTAATCATAAGCGATTTGGTCAAAGGTGAACGCATAAAGCGTCTGTTAGCGTCCCAAAAAATGGACTTATATGATTACAAGTTATGTATAGCCCATCGGCGGTACAATATAAAAAGTCAGCACGTCCAAATGTGTAGCAAAACAGAGAACATACGCATCAGTTAGGTACATTGGAGTTATGGATTATCAGATATAGTGATCTGCCTTCGGATCTGCAACCACTATATTTGGAGGATAGAATTTAAAAGGTTTGTATGGGTGTGAGAAACAGATGAGGATAAAGATAGGGATGAGGATGAGAAATGACAAAAAATGACGCGTATGGAGTCCGGTATAGGCCTTCTAGATCGCCCACTGTATTACCGCCGCTGGCCGGAGGGCGGCATATCGGGGTGGTACGGATAATTAATATGCAGGAGTATAGTACACTCTAGTGATCAGCGATGATTGTATTGGGGTTAGGTAGTTGTATAGTGTTATGCTCAATCGTTTATTTCACGTACTAGATATTTCATATATTACAGTATAAAATTTTGAATACCACATATTTTCATATCCGATCACTATTTTCTTAGAAATAGGCTTTTGAATTTCCAAAAAGTCGATGTGTTAACAAATATAATTCCATAAAAGATATGGAATTATTATTATGCTAGTTGTGATTCCTTGTTGCATAAAGTGTTATTATATTGAAAATTAAACTTAACAAATCAATCTTAACCAGCACAGTAATAATCCCTTATCTGTTATTGAATTTTAGTTGTTGATCACGTCTTTTTTCTATACATCAAAGCTACTTAGAAACGATTGTTCGGATACGAATATGAATACATATTACTTAGAAAATTTTAGAATGATATATTTTTCACCATTGCTATTTTTAAAAATGTAAACAGTGAAAAAAAAAAACATTATTTTTTTCAAATGTTAAAGGGATAAACGTAATAACAACACAATAATAATTATAGTAACTATAAATAATAGTGTATATCGAATGATGGAAAATAAATACTTATAACAAATTACATAATTGGTCATGTTATTTATTAGGTTAGATTACAATGGTTATAAAATAATAACAATGTGAATAAAAACAAAATATGTTGGTTGTTATGTGCGTTATCGTAAGTATACATTTTTCTTCAAATGTCGTGAGATTAATACGTTTGTGATAAAACTAAAACTATTAAAATAATACTATTAATAATAGACGAAATATATTAATTCGCATTGTTTCTTCTACACATAATTTCGGTCTTTTTAGATGGCTTCAATACGTACTATAAGTATGAAAAATAAATAAATTAGTAACATATAATGTAGTTAATTATTTTATGTATATATAGTATGTTTCCAAGTCAATCTAACCAACCTATAACGTTACATAATTTACGCGGTCAAATTTTATAATACCTATTTGATATCTAAACCATTATTTTGTATTTTCAAATTATTATAATGTATATTAACTTAGAATTATATAGAATAGAAAATTATATAATAATAACATACTATTGTAATTGTGCTCATTTATATTAGACTTCAAAGCATTTATTATAACTGATAGGATACGTATAATTCATACGGATTTTATATTTCAGTGGGCATACTAATTATATTCGGTTCCTCGCGAAGATATATATAAATAGACAAATTCTAGTGTTCACAAAGGTACCTTAAGGTAACTGTTTAGTAATTATTAATTGATGTTTTAAATATCTCGAGATTATTAACGATTGAATTTTTTATTCTATAAATCATAATTCTAATTGTATAATGTTTTATTTAAACTTTATACCCGTTGTGAACTTTACAACAATTGTTTTCCCGAAAATTAGGGCATGCTCGTTTTAGATACATACCTAATCNACGTTCAAGTATACAATAATAACACAGTTAAATGTATTGTTTTATTTTTAAATAATTGTTTTACTTATCATCTGCTTGTACCTATTTAAATAAGGATCTGTTGAATCATTCTATTAGTTGGATTAGACTAATTATTATTACATCATATAAACTGTCCTCTTGTGTATAATACCATGTTCTTTTCCGTCGTTCATCGAATTCGAAATATCAACTACAGACAATTTAGGTGTATTATAGAATTTATTAAAAAAAAAAGAAAGCATTATTTAATTTTTTCGCAAATAACTGTTAAAACATAGAACATACTTTTCTGCAGATCATAATTGACCATGGGCATACTCTTCCACCATTTGTAAATTTCAGTGTCATCTTCTACATTAAACATAAGTAAATAAATTCATTAAAATGATATAATTGGCTATTCAAATACACCGTGTCTGTTGCTTGGACTATAAAAATTGTTGTTTATTTTTAAATGTTAACTTTTTACGACCAATGAAGTTGCGTTTAGTATAATAGTTAAAAAAACAATTGTAATGGTTATAATAGTAATACGACATAGAGATATTTTATATTTTTAGGTTCAATAGTTTTTCTTACTGGAAAATTTGCCGAGATAATTCTGATCTTCTTTGCCCTCTCTTATTAATGATCCAATATGTTCCAAAGTATCTTTTTCTGTATATTATAAAAAATGATTAGCATCATAACATGTAATATTTATGAATATCAATTATATAAATTATTCAGAGTACTCACGTTGATCAGATAGGACATCCACGTGTAATGTCGGCATATTGCTATACCATTTGAATAATTTTTCGAGGAGCTCTGTATCGAAAAAATTGTATTGAATGTCCGTAAGTTATAGATATCGGATTTTGGTTAATTATAGGTCATATTAATTTCCATCGATATATAAACAAAATATGATAGTTAATATTACATTTTGGGACCTCATTAAATGATATCGCATAAATTATTTAGATTGTGGGTAGCCGTAAAAAGGCCATCGTTCAATGGGTTACAAAAGTATAAAATATATAATCAAGTATTATCTTAATATTGACATTAAAAACATCAATTCTGAATTATTTTTTTAGTTGAAGACTAGTAATGTCTATTCAAATCCAAAGAAAAATCTCAAATGTTGGTAATAATTAATTACCTAGAATTTTAGAAACTTGGGAGATGTAACATACATTTGTCACCTTTAATGTACAAATAAATACACCGATACTCACCGTCATGAGCAGAAACAGTCGTAAAATTGTCCAAAACCTGTCAAGAAAAATCATTTTTTAATTTTGCATTTTTTTAATCTATAAATAGATATTGGTAACGCTAATAGTTAAACTTACAAGTAGCGAAAGCGTTAATACAAATATCGGCTTGAAGATTTTCATTGTGAAAATATTTTATTCTAAAACATCAATTTGTTTACATTTATTTAATTTAATGATTTCGGTTTATGTCATTTTTTTATGATATTCTCAAAATTTTGAGTAACAACAATAATAAGTGAAAAAAAATTATAGAATATAACAATTAAGTTAGGAAGTTTCCTATGTTTGTTCTCGGTTTTTATATGTAATATACAAAAATGTCCGGCATCAGTAATAAAAGAAGCAAGACTAGTGTCCGTATTCAATTATTTATTCTAATAAATTATTGATTCGTTGAATGATTCAATTAAAAAATTGAAATAGTTATATAAAATGAATTATATAGTACATATAACGAAGTTATATTTCTAATTATAACTATTTCATAATATTTAAATCATGAAAATATAATAGTTATATAATGTGTCATAATGTATATTCGTTAAAAATTCTTACTTCTCGATGAAAGCCTCAAATTTTACTTTGCAATAACAGAACTTTTCCTAGGGAGTAAAAGAATATTATATTTTAAAAA